TTCCTTGAATTTATTTATATTTTCTTTACTTATTTTTCTAACCTTTTTGTACCAGTAATTCAGCTTTCTTTTCATTTTTGGAATACTACAAAATTCCAAGATTTGAGCAGTATCATGGTCAGATAAATAGAGATAGTGGACTCTGTCTTTAGCGTCTTGGATATTACTAGCAAAATGGTCAATACTTGAGTTAAGCCTTCTAGGAACGTCAATATGAAGGTTTAGATTATAAGCCAGTACGATTTTTAGTTTTTTAGTTACGTTATATATTATACTTGGGGAGTGCTTTTAGCCGGGATGGAAGATGTGATTTAGATGTGAACAGGCGTGTCGCTGCCCGGAACAAAGTCAATGGTGCCCTGACTGCGTTAGTCAAAAGGCAAGGCATAGTGAAAAGTGCACGCATTGCAATACATAACGCAGTGTTGGTACCGACTTTGTTATATGGCAGCGAAACCTGGGTATGCCAGAAGAAGCATAAAAGCAAGTTGAATGCAGTGGAGATGCGATCTCTTCGTAAAATGTGCGGCGTTACCATGGCCGACCGAAAGCGAAACGAAGAGATTCGCAATATGGCAGGCTTGAAAGATGACCTTATCACAAAAATTGATAAGGGCGTGCTTCGATTGCTTGGGCACGTTGAGCGAATGAGTGAAGACCGAATGGTGAAGAAAATATATAGCGCGAAAATAAATATTAAAAGGTGTCGAGGTAGACCGAGACTAACTTTCGAAGACCATGTGAGCAAATTGCTCGAAGAGGGGAGGGTCAAGAGTACTCGGATACCTAGACGTGCATGTATGAAGAAGATAATGAATCTGAAAGAAGCGAAAGAGGTATGTAAGGATCGTGACACTTGGCGATCTGTTCTCTCTGGCTACCCCGTCAGGGATTGTGCGTGAAGATAAAGTAAAGTAAAGTTACGTTATTATTTTTCAGTGTATCGATATTCAGATCACCGGCAAGAACTATTTTTCTTTTTCCATTCCTAGTTAGCCTAAATAAGAGAAGATCGAATGCATTCATAAATACAGGTAAGTTAGAATCATCAGGTGTTCTATAAACGCAAATTATAATACAATTAAACAAGGGTATGTCAACAGCACACACCTCAAAATCTCTCTCTTTTGTCATGAAGAACATATAACAATTGGTTTAAAAACAATTGATTTCCGTAACAATATACATACTCCACCGCGTTTTTGGTTTTTTCTACAGTACGATGTGGCTAATTGAAATTGTTTTAATCGTATTTCGTTTCGCTCCCTCTCTTTACAAAGATTTCCGAAAAACAGAGTACATCAAATTCATTATTGTTTTTAGCAAAGTCATTAATACATATTTCCATATTTCCAATGTGTCCAATTTACTTAACGAACCCTTTATATTTTGATAAAATACTGTAAAATTCGACGCAGTTTCCTGGTATTTATGAAAGAAAAAAGTTATTGTTATTGCATATTTTAGTCATTCGATTGAGTTGAGTTTTATTTTTCAACACAGAAAAATAATCTAATATAGTAGTTTGCCGTAAATGAAATGTATTCATAGGTGTGTAACATTTAGTTTTCATAGAATAACGAGCATAGATAACAATTTTTTTAGGGACTGGAAAAGTTTGTGCATATTCGTCACTATCAATATCTAAATTAATTTTATTACAAAGCTGCTTAAGATATACAAATTTATTATAAAACTTATCCGATGAAAAGTCTAAAAATTTGCATTTTGGAAATAACTTTGTACATAATGATAGCCTATTGTTGAACAATTTTACATTGAAATGTTTATTAGAGCGCACTGACACTACATAGACACGTATATGTTTCACTTTTTTGAGTGCTAAGTAAAGTTCAGACTCCAGTTTTATTATGTTGTCATCATGCCCTCCTACACCAAGCACAATCACGTCTTCTTTTGTGAGACTGTTAAGGAACGAGTCGTCAAGGTATTTCAGAATATGTGAGCTTGGTGCTTGACTTATTATAAATGTACTTACATTGTACTTGTCGTTGCATTTTTCATCTCTAGTTTTGAGTAAGGCAAGGGATAGCCCGGAAAGTTGTTCGTCCCCCAAAATTACAATTTTTTGTTTGCTTTTAACAGGGCTGGTTAACTGATGCATATGTAATAAATTATCCAGTGATTTGTCCTGTTCAAGGTTTGTAATAGCTGCATTTTCATTTTCTTCTATTTCTAAACTTTCTATTAATGAGTTTTCATTTTGTAAATCCGTGGAGGACAGCCCTATATTCTTCGTGTTAATCATCTTACGCGTATTTTTTTTGGATGGTTTGTCAGTTGATCCGCATATTTGTAATAGTTGCGTAATATTTCGCTCTTGTGTAGCTATTTTTTTCTTTAATAAACTGTTCTCTAATAGTACATTGTCAATTTCTTGACTTGCTGATGCTAATTTTTCATTTAGTTCTCCTATTATACGCTCCGTATTCTGTATTTTTTCTTTGTCATCCGGTCTCAAGTCAGGACAGCTTCTGTTCAATGTATTGTGTAGTAGCTCGGGAGATGAGAGCACTGTATCCTCCTCTTCGTCATCAACTGAGAGTGAGTCAAAAGAATTTTCTGTTGGTATGTTACTTGTGTGCTTTACTTGACACGTTATATTCTTATCCTGTCTACTTTTAGGAGAATCTAGTCTGAATCCTGACTCAGGAGTGCATTGATCCAATAGTAAGTTTCGTCTTTCACTTTTAGGAGTAGATTTTTCAAGTGATAGAATTTTAGTTTTGAGATTTGAAGTGGGACTGTGTGTTTTCTGTGTAATTGATACGTTCGTGAAATTATCATTAGCAGGAGTTGTATATCACGTGCTTGGGACGTTACTTAAACAATCACTACATTTCCAATTTCTTTTTTGCGTAGGTGTCATTATGTAGTACCTTTTTTCTGTTTTAGAACAATTAAGGTCAAATATTCCTTTACAAATAGTACAGTTAAGATATTGTCTTCCTTTAATAATCTGTTTACATTTATTGCATTGTTTACCCATAGCTCTTAATTATTTTTCTATTAATGTAAAAATACCTTTTACCTTTTATTGGTGACCTCTATGAATTTCACTAGTTTCTAATTATTGAATTTTTTATATATAGACATTTATTATAAAAATTATAATCATAAAGAAAAATAAAAGAAAACAAAACAAAAACAAAAATATTTACAAAAACATCTTGTTGTTTGTCGATTTAGTAATAATTAGTTGTATGTCAAAGTTGTATGTATTATGATGCATGAGCAAACGTGTCGAAATATTGCTACAAGTTTAAAAAGTGGTTTTTAATGCTTAATTAATATGCAAATGATTCATAACGAGCACCGTTCGTAGAATACTTTTAAATTTTAATCCACCGTCACACAATTGATTTCAATGCTTTATACCTTAGACTTATTTTCTAACACTTTATCCATAATGATATACTTTTATTGCTATAATGTTAATGCTTAACACATAGTTTTTATATTAAATAGTCTTCTTTTGTTATATAGGTTCCAATAAATATAGACTTAGATCACTAGTTTATTTTATGGCACAAAAATTATACAAAATATTTAAAATAATGTTAAGATATATACTATCACTATACACTAATGATGTTTACTTTTTATACACTGCTTACTTCTGATGCTTATATTCACTATTTTAAAAACGTATTTGATACTGATTGCTCAAATTATAAGTTATTTTTAGTTTTGGGTATGTCTTTAGGCACTGAGTTAATGAAACGTTCTTTTCATTTTCGTTCGTTGTCATCAAGTTCAATCATTATCGTTTATTGCATCGAATCTATAATTCATAGATTCGATGCAATAAGACGAATGAGAATAGCATTCATCGACTTCCTCCACCTCTTATCAGGTCGTCACACCATCTAGTGTGGAGCCGCCCTACACTTCCCATACTGGTATTATTGTCATCATATCCAACGTACTGTAATAGCAGTATATAATAATATAAATGTATATTAATTATTATGTCAATTAAGTCGGACTTAGATTTTATATTATACTATATAATATTCAAATTATACTTGCGTAGAACATCACATGTTTTGATTGATACATAGACCATAAAATATGTATATTATAATTGTGTGCTCCGAGTGTCGATAGATGAATAATTTGAATTTAATAACAAATTAAAAAAAAATCTTATACTACAATTAATTTGAAAGCATTGTTATTTAAGTTTTCACTTCTGTCGGCAGTCCCCAGTGACTGCCATTTTTTCATTGAGATTAAAAGAAATGTGTTTTTATATACGATTCGATTATATTTTAGCATTATATTACATTTTATCATTATAGACCCTTTTTTAATGGAAACGAGGTGTTCCATCTTAGTCCTCACGGGTGACAACGCATCTGCATTTTGATTCGTAATCGAGGATAGATGTAGATGTCTATGGGCCACAGCAACCCCTTACCATCAGGTGGACTGTGTGCTTGTTTGTCACCCTAATTCGGAAAAAATTTTTTTTAAGATTGTGTTATAAATATATTCGACAGTTTAGGTTTGCCACAATGCCGCAATGTAGGCGTTGTAACGTGTTTTTCGCTCAATAAATGCTTTTGTCCTTTGTTCCGACGAAGACGATTGTTCCGACGTAACCAGCAAAACTTGGGAGGAACAGGTTTAATAAAAAGAAAGCTTTAATGATACCGCTCAGGGAAATTCGATTTAGTAATGGAAAGGATGGCAGTGAAGACGGTTGCTTTGAGGTAAAATTTCCTTGTAAGTTTATTTATGTCTAAAGGAAATGTTTTAAGCGAAATATTGTTTTAATTTATTATATTTACATTCTAAATAAACGTGACACAAGGGATAGTGACGAAAAATTCTTACACGTTTTGTCGCCTATCTCCCATCCGCCAAACCCGTACCGTCCGATAAGGAACTTCGTTCCAAAAAATTTAAGAAGATTTATGTTTACCAGTTTATTTGTCTAAACCAACAGTGTGCTGCTATGTGCAAACTGGTGTTTGAGCGCAAGAAAATTTCCACCTGGGTTCGAATTTGGGGCGGCTACTTCATCGTACCAGGTCGAAGGAGCGTGGAATATTAGCGGTAAGATATTTTCCCTATTTATCATTTTAAGTTTTGCCGAATGAGTATCAATATCGTTGGATCTATTGCTAACAAAAACTACAGGCTCTTATTTTGTCAAGTTTGATTCAGTTCGATTCCCGACTATATCAAGTGACTATTTGAAATTGATCTAGTCCAAAATGTATAAAGTTCTACCCTTTAAGCAAAACTCCTGCCTTTAATATTTTCGGATGTTTTGCAGAGCTGTTTTATTTGTGTAAATATGTAAGTATTTGTGAAAAGCGGGTTGCTCATGATTTGCTGGTGCAAACAATTACAATAATATATTTGCACCCCAATAATGGCCACTGTCATTTTCAGTTTCATATTTTTTAATAATATTTTCTTTGAAAACACGTTACCCCCTCCCCCCACCCTAAAATTTTCTCCTGTATCGCGGAGACATTCATAAATGTATCTTCATATGTAAAAGTCCCATGTCATGATGTTTGTTCACGCCGATCTCCGAAATCACTCAATCGATTTTAATTAAATTTTAAAATAAAAGTGTATCAATTATCCAACTTATAAAAGAAATATAATAGTTTTTATACAATACAATACAATAACTTCACTTCGATAAGGAACCTTAATATTTCTATTGCGAATATAAAGATTTTTAATAGGACAAAAGGTCGTAAGAAAGAGCAGAACAACGTCTGCCTGGTCAACTAGCGTAATATACAATTGTGCAATTTATGTATATATATATGTGTAATTTACCTTAAATAGTTTAAAATTAAAAATTTTGTACAACCGACTTCAATATACTTAAATTATTAAGAATAGTCAAAAATCATTGGTCAGACCTTGATCAAATTTATATTAGACCACATGTGAAGCACCAGCTTTTAAATAAAAAAAGAATCATCGAAATCGGCTCACCCAGTAAAAAGTTATGAGGTAACACACATAAAAAACAAAAAAAACATACAGTCTAATTGAGTACCGGTTGCTTTTCGAAGTCGGTAGAAAATTACATTATGTCGCTTATGACTAATGTAACCATCAGCAGCTTTACCAAAGTAAATATCTTAAGAAAGGAAAGACTTAACCCTCCGTTTTTGCACTTTCATAGTCGGATAAAAAAATAGCCTATATGTTGCTCAGGGTCATTAACCTCGTAAATACACAATTTCACGGTAATTCAGTAGTTCTTGCGTGAATCGTGATTTACACAGAAAGATCGACAGACAAAAATGCATAAAGCTTAGCTTCAACATTCATCAATTAGCACACTACACGTGTTTCTTTTCAGAAAATATAGCAACTTACCATGTAGTGGCGGTGTAAGAATATCGACTACCCCATACCATCCCGTGGGTGTCGTAAGAGGCGATAGAGGGAAACAAATCAGGAGATCAATATGTAATAAGTCTATGTGGGCAACAGTCTTCCTAATATAACGACTAAAAATAAAAACAAGCGGTTGCCAATCCGCTTGCCAAGCGTGGCAACTATGGCAAATATCTCCCTATGAGACAATCCATGAAGGAAGCCTATGTTCAGCAGTGGAGTTTAATAGTCTGTAACAGTATGTATAGATTTGATGTTAAATTACTTAGAGGTGGTAAATTACTTAGAGGGTATAAAGTACGAAATTATAAACAAATTAAAAATAACAGTTGTACGAATAAAATAGTTCAATTGTTACTTTTTTATATCAATGTAATGATAATCACTGACCTCTATAGAGGTCAGTAACTCTCCCTGTTTCCTCTGCGGCAGCAACGTGCCAGGTTAAAGCCGGTTAAAAAAAATATTATAATTATTATAACAATGATGCTAAATGTATTGTTTTCAGACAAAGGGGAGAGTATTTGGGACAGGTTCACTCACCAAAACCCAAAGGGCATCGTAAACGGTGCAAACGGTGACGTTGCTTGTAACTCATACTATAACTGGATGGATGACGTGGAAATTGCAACTGAGCTGGGTTTACACTTTTATCGGTTAGTAAGTATAAAAGTCAAGAGAGGAAAAAGGGAAAGAAAGAGAGAGAGGTATTATGTTTATTACCAGCGTGAGGTAGAGGTTTACCTCTGCGTTTCGCTTGGTGAGTGCAGGTGGCCGGAGGTCCTTTTTACCGGAAATGAGGCATTCCATCTTAGTCCTCACGGGTGACAACGCATCTGCATTTTGATTTGTAATAGAGGATAGATGTAGATGTCTATGGGCCACAGCAATCACTTACCATCAGGTGGACTGTATGCTCGTTTGTCACCCTTATCCTATAAAAAAAAGGTATTATGTCTACTTGTTTTAAATTTGAATGATTTGAGTCCTTATTTTGCTAAGGGCATGGATGTAAGACTGAAAGAGTGGAAGCAGTCTCTGGTGTGGAGAATTCAGATTATGTCATTCAACAAAATTATAGTTGTAACTTCGATTGGAAACCTTGAATAGGTTCAGGGTTTCTCATCGCTGTTAGTCTTATGTAACAAATTAATATTTAAATAATTAAATATGGAATTATACTCGTATTACGAGTAGATATATTATATATTAGATAATGGAATTCTAAAAGTGTAGTGGCGTTGTAAGAATATCCACTACATCATATCGTCCAGTAGTTGTCGTTAAAGGCGACAGAAGGCAACTGAAACTTGAGATAGGCAACAGCGTCTTCCTGATAACAAGTCATAGTTATAAAACCCTTGGTTGGCCAACCGCCTGCCAAGCATGGCAACTATGGCAAACCTAGGGAGGTGGCCTCCTTAGGCCTATGTTTAGCTGTGGCCTTTTATAGGCTGAAATGATATGGTATGGTAGGGTCATTTATTTGTCTGTATAAAGCTAGACCCCTCTACTTTAACAGAAAATTATGCTCGCTGGGATTTGGCGCTGGCTGACTTGCGAGACATTAGTAAGCAGCTGCTTTCCCGCTCCGGTTTGATACTTAAAGGATAATTATTTCGCTATCTTTCGGAAACCACAAAGTCTTAAAAGCATTTCCGACAGTTGAACATTACGACACCCATGGTGAATTTCATGATGAAATGATACGTGAGTATTACAGTGGTACAATTAGATGATTCACAAATTGATTAGCTCCAAAGAAACGCCAGTGGAAGGGGGCTTAGAATTGATTTTTTTATATGATAAGGGTGACAAGCGAGCACACAGTCCACCTGACCGTAAGTGGTTGTTGTGGCCCATAGACTCGTTTGCGAATGAAATGCAGATGCGTTGTCAGCCGTGAAGACTAAGATGGAATGCTTCTTCCAGTAAAAAAGTCGGTTTTCTACACTCACCAAACGGTACACAGCAACATTAAGCTGCTATTTTACGCTGGTATTCTGTGAGAGCGTGGTCCTTCCCCGTTCCCCGACCCATTCGTGCTACAACTATACTATTAATATAGCTACCACGTATAAAAATTGTTTGTTTGTTTTATATCGATGCTTTTATAGTCCTTGAGGACAAGATAATGACGCTCAAATTATATAGTTGCTGGATTATTGGTTTTAGGTTTTCAATATCATGGCCCCGCCTACTTCCGTCTGGTTTCATCGACAAAATAAGTGAAGACGGTAAAAACTATTATAATAAGGTTATTGACGCTTTACTTCTGAATGGAATCAAGCCAGTTGTTACACTGTATCACTGGGACTTACCACAGAGGCTACAAAACTTAGGTAAGGTACTGCTCATATATTTTTATTTATTTATTTATTTAATAGCAATCCTTTTACATAAGTTAATTGATTGCCCTGAGCTAGTGTAACTGTGTTTCAGGAACACATTATAATATATTAAAGTTCTTTATAAATCACTCTTTTCTACCGACTTCAAAAAGGTGACGGTACTCAATTCGACTGTATGTTTTTTTATGTGTGTTAGTTACCTCATAACTGTTTACTGGGTGAACCGATTTCAATTATTCTTTTTTTATTTGAAAGCTGGTGCTTCTCATGTGGGACCACAAAAAAAATTTGATTAATGTCTGACCAATAGTTTTTGAGTTATTCTTAATAATTTATATTGAAGTTGGTTGTAAAAAATGTTTAATTTTTAATTATTTTGTAAATACAGTCCATTTGCTCTGCCCGTCCTTTTTAATAAGTCCGGGTTAATTTATTTGTTATTTGCGTCATCCATATTGTTTGACCTAATTTTTTATATAAAATAATAGTGACAAACGAGTTTTGTCACCGAGCTGCTCGTTCGTTAGGTGGGTCTGATGGAAATTTGGAGGACATTTATGCTCGATTAATTAGGTGCGTTGTCACCCCTGAGGACTGCCGCAGTTTTATGTTTTTAGTCGTTATAGGAAGACGCTGCTGCCATCTTCTGATTTGTTTCCCACTGTCGCCTCTTACGACACCCATGTGACGATATGGGGTAGTTAAAAGTAGTTAGTAGTTAAAAGAAAGATGTAAAATTCATACTTATTTTAGGGGGATGGACAAACCCTTATATAGCAGACTGGTTTGCGGATTACTCAAGAGTTGCCTACACATTGTTTGGCGACCGCGTGAAGACCTGGATAACTATTAACGAGCCCGTAGTGATTTGCGATTTGTCGTACAACTCAGGTGCCTTTGCGCCTGGCATCAAAGACCCAGAACTGGGTAATTACCTATGTAGCAAAAATATACTTTTGGCGCATGCTAAGGCCTGGAGGATTTATGACGAGGAGTTTAAACCGAAATATCATGGTAAGGTTTTTGATATTATGTTTATGTTTATACGTTATTTAGGACATTAGAAAGTAGATGGGTGCTGGTGGCTCAGAACCGTGCTTTATGGAATTCTTTGAGGGATACATACGTTCAGCAGTGGACTTGTGAAAGGCTGTAATGAATGAATGAATGAATGAATATGACTAGTTGTCGCTGACGCAAATTTTTTACGACTTTTTTTTTCACCAATTCACTTCGATCATATTAGTTGATGTGGCAATTTTAAAGATGACAATTATAACTAATCAATCGAATTACTACATGACCATAGTTTCATAAAAACAAGAATTTTTACTCGTTTATAAAAATGTAATTTATGATTTTTTTTTACTTATACATTTATTAAATTTTTTATCTCATCCTAACGGAATTCGTAGTTTTGCGTAATTCATACCACAAAAAGAACCTTAATTTTCTTAAAAAATTGTTAAATTAACCTCCAAAAAAAGAGATCGACCGGGGAAGGACCCCGCTCTCACAGAATATCAGCGAAAAATAGCAGCTCAATGCTGCTGTGTTTTGTATGGTGAGTGTAGAGAAACGGAGGCCCTTTTTACTGTATACGAGGCATTTCATCTTAGTCCCCAGGGATGACAACGCATCTGTTTTGCGATTCTTAATCAAGGCTAAATGTAGGTGTCCTCTATTAGGTGGACTGTGTGCTTGTTTGTAACCATTATTTAAAAAAAATACGATCAACCCGGGTTTGATTTTGGCCGACACTAATAATATTGTCAACTATAATTTAATCACTGTTTTACCACGTGCTCGGCTATGAAGTAAAATATTGTGAGGTTATTGCATTTCTGAGGAATAAAATATGTAGAAGTCATAAAAAAATATACAAAATTTTACCTGCTCAAAGTACAAAAACTTTATTAAACTAAGAAAGGGTTTTAGGGCAAGGAAATGTCTGAATGCAAAGAAAACAAATTCAAAATATATTTTTTCTTATTGCATGCCTTAAGCACAAAGCGCGTAGGTAGGTTCTACTAACGTTTTGTAGCATAAAATTGTATCTAACAATCATATTCAACATATAAATGATATAAAAAGCACATTGTCAGAAAGATAAATGATTGTTGAACTTATTAATATTTTTTTAATATCTATTAATTGCTATTTTTACATAAAAACGTGGCTTATGGTGTAGATTTATCAAATCCGCATGGAACGGTAAACACGATAACTTTTGAAAATATTAATGGTTTAACTCAATATATTTTTAATCTCTTCATCTATCATGTGGGAAGCCATGGAATGTAAATGGCAGTTTAATTTTGTTTTGTTTAGTTATAATTAAATTTTTCCGGCTGCGAAATTTCGAAATTTTCTGTGTTTTGGCAGCCTTGTATTAATTTATTTTACTAAATAGACTGCCTCACCTACTCACTTCGGCGCATAGATAAAGAAATATGTAGCAAGCTACTTCGGCGTCAAACGCCGTCGTGAGTGGATACTGTATCGGTTGTTTGCAGCGGCTCAAAAAGATCGCTGTACAAATACAAAATATTCGAAAAACAAAATTTCATACATGCTTAATTATTATAATAATCAGAGATTTTTATGACAATATTTTAAAAGCACACAATAAATAATAGTAGTACGTATTAAAAGTAAGTAGGAAGTATATATTTATACTTAAATACGTCTTGGACTTTATGGAGTGACCTGAATGATGATATGATGATCATATGAGCATTATGAGTAGTGTTGCCCAAATGCAAGAACAAGACGAGACTTAGGAAGTCTTGGTCTTGGTCTTGCACCAATACACCTGGTCTTGGTCTTGGTCTTGGTATTGAGCTCCGAGTCTTGGTCTTGGTCTTGGTCTTGCAGCAAGAGTCTCGCAAGTCTCGCAATGACCTATTAGCCTATTACTATTTATTAAACGTTACTTTAGATCTTAGAACAACTTAACAGAGTAGGTACATATTGAGCTTGAATTAACATAGCCATAGTAAAGACCAACCATACTAATAAATGTCTAAACATTTAATGAGAAATTCAAAAAATCAACTGACACCGGGTGGGGTTTGAACCCACGACCTAAGTGATCCGTGCCGATGCTCCAACCAAATGAGTGTCCCACGGCCACGGGCGTCAGTTTCTTAATAAACGTTTACATTTAATAAGCTTACATGTGCTAAAATATGGTTAAACATACATATAAAAACAAATTAATGGCAATAACTACACTGTATTTTAAATAACATTATCTCTCTAGAAAGAGATTGATGGACCCTCCCCATATATGAAATGGAATAAAAGAGTTATACAATATACTATTTATTTAAATAAAAAATAAAATACGATGCAAATTAAATTACTTCACAGTATGTACACAACAGCTTTGACATTACTGTTACTTTATATTAATTCTTTTGACAAAGCATTAATACAAAGTAACCATCTGGCTGACTCATCACTTAACCTATTTCTATGTTTTATAATTACTAATGATGCTTTAGAAAATAATCTCTCAGTAGGTACTGAAGTTGCAGGTATTAAAAGAAAATCACGGGCCATCTTCGATAAAATCGGATATTTTGTCTCATGCATCCTCCAACAGTCTAAAATGTCTTCCGAGATGACGGCTCTGGGTTTACCTAGGTACCCCTTCAACTCCTTAATAACTAAGCCTTGAAGACAAGATCCAGATCCATTTTTACACATTTCAAGTGTTTTAAAAGTGCTATGGTGTCAACCATATTTATCAAATGTGTGACGACATATTCGAGCACTTTGTGTTTTAAAAACACACACTTGCAAAAGTCGAGATTTGCAGTGAACTTACTGAACATGTTTATCTTTTAGGTAATAATAATAACAATAATAGTAAGTAATTATTATAAATCCATATAGTTAATTTTATAATAATTACTTACTAGAATAAATTATTATGATACCTACCTATTATCTAATTACAAGATTTCTTGCGAGATCAGGATAATGTATTCGTGTCCATTCTGAGCACCCGGAAACTTATTTTATTCTTTGAAACATGTACTCTGTGGCGGCAATCAAACAGTGTCAAATGTAGTGCGTGCGGTGCGGCGGCGACGATTGTATGCGATATCAATAGTAGCCGCCGGCACGTGTATCTTGACCTTGTACTTTCGAATAGCTGCACAATTTCTTTGACAGGTCAGTATCCGACCTTTGATGACGCCGACAACAAGACGCCGCGCACCATCAAAGTGCCGATGGTCAAAACTAGGAATGCACTCTTTTTTCTTTTAATGGATATTTTCATTCGCTATGTATATTTATGGTATTGTTCGTAATGCGCATAAGTCCAATTTTCCAATTTTTTTTAATTATATTTTTTGCGTCTCATAGACTCCCTAAGCGTATACCCGAACTCCTATACTCCCTGAAACGACACGACACGAGTCCTAACTGCAAGACGCAAGAGTCTCGCAAGCTAAGTCTTGTTCTTGCACAAATCTTGCACGGTCAGTCTTCGTCTTGGTCTTGCTAAAAAGAGGCGGTCTTGTTCTTGGTCTTGGTCTTGCAAAAATGCAAGAACAAGACCAAGACTGCAAGACCAAGACCGATTTTGGGCAACACTAATTATGAGTCGTGCACTTTTGGATTTTCCAAACTTTCTTTAAATTGAAGTTTGACATAAAATTATTGGAAAATTGGAAGTATGATATGGTTATTAGTGAAAACTTGTGTGTATTTAAACTACTTTAAAAAAATCCGTATAAACATGTTATATGTAATTATAAAAGGTTTTAGAAAAATTTACTTCGCAAATATCCGCGTTATAAAATAAAATGATGTGTCTTACCTAGTATGAAGAGCACCTCCCGCCCTCCCTCAATAGTGTGCACTATTCCCGTCACCACTAATTCCAGCACCGCTACTCCCAACACCACTACACTAGGCAAGACACACCACTGACGATAATACGACACGTGTTTCGCCTCTACACGAGGCATCCTCTGATGATATAGACTCTACGGTGGCTAACCGCTAAGTAAATTTTTCTAAAACCTTTTATATAATGGATTTCAGCAAAGTAACGCCTGATTCTATTAATTATATTATATATAATTTTTGCGCTTAGGGCATGCACAATTGGATTTACCAATAGTTTTTTCATTCTCATCATCTTTCATTCTCATGATGTTTTCCTTCACCGCCGAAAACGTGGTAAATTAGCGCTTAAAATTGCGTGTCGGCGGGAATAGAATCCGGGTAGTTTGCGTACTGTGAAATTTATAAGCTCTCCTGAGAAAAAATGTAATGAAATAATCTATTTCCGTAGGTAAAGTAGGAATAACCAACCTATTATTTTGGTTCGAGGCAGCGAATGAGGAAGACCAAGATTTGACTGAACTTATAAGAACATATATGGTATGATGTTTTTTCTCTTGTCTCTCCCTACAATGAGAAAACGCTTGCAGAATACTTTTTGTGAATGCTGTGGCCAGCACCTACTTTTCTCTATCTCGTAACAATAACAGAAGTTTGTGATTAGCGCTCACTCTCACATTCAGAATACTAGATTATTGTGTGAGTATGGTCATTCCACGATCGAGCCTAACCATTCGTATTTCAGCCTTAATAACTCGTAGCTTGACTCTACCAATATTTATTGTCCACCTGTCTCATAACACTATTGAGATCATTGAGTTAATTATTGAGTTAAAAACAAAGATCATGTTTAATGTCCATGTCACACCTATGCCGGTAGTTGTTGGGAGCACTAAGCTCAAAGTTGTTGACGAGTATGTTTACCTGGGACAAATAGTCCGACTAGGTAAGTCCAACTTCGACCGAGAGGTCAATCGACGGATTCAACTCGGTTGGGCAGCGTTCGGGAAATTACGGCACATCTTGTCAGATATACCTCAAAACTTGAAAACGAGACTGTACAACCAGTGCGTGTTGCCAGTGATGACCTATGGAACTGAGACGTGGTCCTTCACTGCTGGCCGGATGAGGAAGCTCAAGTTTCTTTGCGTGATAAACTTAGAAATGAGGATATCTGCAGTAGAAACAGAGTGACCGACATAGCCCAACGGATTAGTAAGCTGAAGTGGCAATGGGCCGGCCATATAGCTCGAAGAACCTACAACTGATGGGGAAAAAAGGTTCTCGAGTGGCGGCCTCGTACCTGCAGACGAAGGTAGTTGTGTAGTATGTAGGGCGTCCCCCTACTAGATGGAGTGACCACCTGGTATCATATGCAGGAAGTCGATGGATACAGGTGGCTCAGGACCGTGCTTTGTGGCATTCTTTGGGGGAGGCCTATGTTCAGCAGTGGACTTGTGAAGGGCTGTAATGATGATGATGATGTCTCATAAGCCGTGAACACAACTGGACATAGGCCTCTTCGCCTTTACAAATGATGGGTTGGGTTCACACTTTTTTATGGGTTAAGGGTGACAAGGAGCACACAGTCCACCTGATGGTAAGTGGTTGCTGTGGCCCATAGATATCCACACCTATAATCGTTTGCGAATCAAAATGCAGATGCGTTGTCACCGTGAGGACTAAGATGGAATGCCTCTTTTCCAGTAAAAAGGGTCTCCGGTTCTCTACACTTACCATACGAAACACAGCAGCATAGGCTTCTATTTTACGCTGGTATTCTGCGAGAGCGTGGTCCTTCCCACGTAGAGCCGAGCCATTCGTGCTACAACTATACAATTAATATAGCCGCAGCATGGCTCTACCACGTATAAACTTAGACCTATTCGTGCAACCCATCACTGCGGTGATGTAACTCTGGTGGAATTCATTAGCCTGTGAGAATTATTCCGCAACAGCGTTCTGTTTTACCAAAGCGGCCAAAGTTGCCATGCACCCGCGCACTCTGTTTACGAACGTAGACCGCGCGGGTGACCACGGCCTAAGCGAACCATACGCCCTGCGGGTATTTCATAGTGTTGTGTTTACTATACTATAGTCTAATAGGTACCTACTTTTCTTATATTCTACACGTGTCGGAGGCGGATCCGCTGCACTCCATGAGTTCATAGACCAAAAATAGCACACATCAATTTCAGAAGTCACTGCTTAACATAAGTCTCTGCCATAGATTGTCTCATAGAAGTAATATTTGTAAGCAGGATGGCAACCGCAGTTTTTATTACTTTCAGTTATTATAAGGAAGACGTTGCAGCTCGTCTTGTTCCATTTCTCTTTTCTCGCCTCTTGCGACCCCTCCGGAAGAATGGGAAAGTGAATTCTCCTACACAGTCATGACGTACTAACTATATTATATTATAGGTATATTAAAACCTAAATCCGTATATTATAGACTGGAATGTATTCGGATCCGATTTACGCAAAAGACGGTGGCTGGCCATCAAAAATAGAGTTGATTATAGCAGAGAACAGCAGGAAGCAAGGGTTTCCACGCTCAAGACTACCCGCATTCACACAAGAGGAAATTGAATTTGTTAAAGGTGGGTATACAAAAAAAAATTATCTAAAATGGTATATGATTATCTCTTTCAGAAATGGCAAGTACCTCCCCAACATTGAGAGGTATGTAGCTTATTACTTTTAATTAATCATCATCTCATCAGCCTATCAAAGTCTACTGATAAACATAGGCATCTACCATACGTTGCCTTATAGGGGTGGGTAAGGGGGGGGGGGATTTACCATAGTTGTCACACTTGACAGACTAGGTAAGTATAATTATGTCGTATTTATCGGTTTAAAATACCCAGGCCAGCAAAAAGACAAACCAAACAGCATTAAAGGTGCATGATATATGGTACTGCTGCCAGTCCCCGGGCAGTTATCGGTTATAAACTATATTCCCCTAAAAGTTTTCGAGTGGAAGCCAGATAGTATTGCGCGACCCCCCCCCCCCACAAGATGGAGTGATCATCTGATGAAACATGTAGGTAGTTGAGCAGCGGACTGATTACTAGCCTCACGCCTTAATCAGCTTTATTAAAATATGTTTTATCCGTGGTGGAGCCCTGCTGCAGCCATATTAGTAGTATAGTTGTAGCGCGAATGGGTCGGCTCGACCGGGGAAGGACCACGCTCTTACGTAATACCAGCGTAAAATAGCAGCTTAAAACTGCTGTATTTCGTATGGTGAGTGTAGAGAACCGGGTCCACTTTTTACTGGAAACGAAGCATTCAATCTTAATTCTCACATTTTGATGCTTTATTGAGGATAGATGTAGATGTCTATGGGTCACAGCAGCCACTTACCATCGGATGGACTGTGTGCTCATTTATCACCCTATCATGTAAAAAAAATGAAAAAAAAAAATGCAATCGATTGAGTACCTTCTCCTTATTGAAGGGGTTTAAAAAAGGTGTCCCTACCATCTAGTAATTAATAGCTATACATTGAGTTATATGCCCTTCCGAACATTGACTATGTTCAACTGAACTGTAGTGCAATCTATACAAACTAAATATTGCGTAAATTGAAGATTTGTGAATTCCATAAAATAATAATTATTACATTTTATTTAGAAATATGTTTGTTTAGATTAAATTAAGATATTTTATATTAAATTCTTATATTTATTTTTTATTAATATCTTATTTTATATCAAATTACAGTCATCGCGGGTGTAGTAGTCGCGCATGCGCGAAAACATGGAGTAGGACACAGTTTTTGTTTGAAATGGCTTCTCTAGTACGTAGTACATATAACTCAATGTAGCTATACATTTCTTTTAAAATTCTTCTTCTTGCTTTTAAAGGTACTTATGATTTCTATGGCATAAATTATTATTCGTCTCGTACTGTGCGGAAGGCTAAAGCTGGTGAGACTATTGGCAGTTGGCCACTTGGCAACGGCGCCGTGGAGTTCAACGCTGTTCTGGACGTCCGTCCGGAGTGGAAGAAGGCGGCGTCGTCCTGGTTTTGGGTTTGTGATGATAATACTAATTTCTATTTTACTACCACACGATGTTCTGCACTTTCCGGTAGGTGGCATAGTTAGTTTTACTTTCAAATAACACTGAACTTTTTACAGTTTTTTTTAAATACTAGCAATGCTCTGAACATTGCTAATATTCCCTTTAACCTCTCCTGGGAGGCTAAGAATGATTGTGTTATTATGATGTTCACGATAGTAGTCGAATGGTTGCCTCGAACCCACGATTTTTTGAGTTCGCGGTCCGCACCCTGCAATTAGGCTACTGTAGCTTTAAAACAGTGTAAATATAAAATGTATTAATGTATTTTATGTTTTTCTATTTTGGCACTAAACTAGAAATATAGATTTATGATTTTATAAATGACTACAGCGCCACCTATTAGATAATATATAGCGTACCAACAAACGAATATCTCGACGCAACAATTATACTTAGTCAGGTCATAAGTTCTGTCAAAAAGTTTTTATAAAATTAATGATACACGTTTTGATAATTACAGAAATTATGTATGAAATGGAAGGTAATTTATTTTAGAATACAATTGTATTTACATTATTCAAAATACCCTCCTCTATTTTGAATACATGCCCGACCCGTCATAGGGTACGACTTTTCATTGACTCCCATCGAGTTGGGGGTTGATACCTATTTTTACAGAAAAGTTACACTATTATAAGCACACACACAAAGTTACAATATGCGGAAGCGCGTAATTTTTGAGAAAAAAGTTATTGAAAATCAATTATTCTTGCATTGTTTATGTCTAATCCTACAATAAAACTGACGCCATTTTTTTATTGTTATTGTCAGTAGGGATGTCGATTCTTTCCGAAAAATATCGATTTTTTAAATAGATTCGAATTGTAAGCTGATGTATCGATTCCCAAAAAATCGATTTCTAAGATATCTATATTTTTTTCATGTTTGCATTTATAATGTAAATATAAATCCATCTTATGAGAAAAAAGTCACCATCATAAAATATAGGGGGACTGATTCAGAAGGATTTCTGTATCTATTTTGAGACTGCTACGTCTCCGGCGCTGCGGGAAGAGCAGCCTCTACGCCTTAGCGTAACAAATCGCAGGCGTCCCTCCTTCCGATGCCTACGATTTGTTACAGCAGACGGAGGCTGCTCCCCCTACGCGCCTCCGGCTCTTTAAAACCACTCTAGGGGTAGGACAGACTCGTACCAGGTGGAGTCGGGGTCAATCAATTCGGTTCTTTGACATAAGTTGAACCTAACCTATTTTATTTGTTATCTGCCCTAATTGGTACTGTTAAAATAAAACAAAATTCAATAAGAGATCATTTATTATGGTATCTTTCTTGTTTTTCATAAAATGGAATTATATTTACATTATAAATGCAAACATAAAAAATATAGATATTTTAGAAATCGATTTTTTATGAATCGATACATCTTACGATTTGAATCGATTTAAAAATCGACCTTTTTCGGAAAGAATCGACATTCCTACTGACGACAATGACATTACAAAATGGCGTCAGTTTTATGGTAGGATTAGATATAAAAAATGCAAGAATAATTGATTTTCAATAACTATTTTCTCAAAAATTACGCGTTTCCGCATGTTATAACTTTGTGTGTGTGCTTATGATAGTGTATCTTTTCTGTAAAAATACGTATCAACCCCCAACTCGACGGGAGTCAATGGAAAGCTAAGCCCGTCATAGGCGCGGCCAATCATCAATTGCAGCACGCACCATATTCATATCTATTTCTACCGCTGCTTTAGCCAAAGATGCTCGGAGAGATTCCAAATTCAGATGAGGTTTAGCGCAAACTTTCTCCTCCAAATGTTTCCATATCTTGTAATCGTTTAAATCTGGACTAGAAGAGGGCCAGACTTCATGTCCGATAAGGTCAATTCCACGGGTAGTCAACCAACCAGTTTTGCGTGCGTCGTGCTCTATGAGGTGGTAGAGGTAGAGTCCTGTTGGAATATCTAATGTCTGCTTTTGAACATTGTTTGAGAAAAAGGTATTTTGGTACACCTCGGCACTAGTTTTTACACCTTTTTCACAGAAAAACACCTCAGTTAAGCCTGAATATGAGACTCCAAGCCAAACCATGAGTGACGAAGGATAATGTGCTCGTTGAATTCTCGAAATACGCGTGCTGGCTTCTTCACTGCTTTAGGCATACACCTTATCATTTTGTTTATCATAACTTTCTTTGATATTAAAATGTTTTTCATCCGAAAACAAAATTTCCCGGTATTTTTTCCCGCGTACCGCCGTAACAAAGCGCGGGATCTATCCAGCCTAATTTTTTTCAAACACTCGTTCAAAAAATGTCCGGTATTCTTACGATAAGCTCGTAGTCCTAGGTCTTCATTGATCACAATTTGAGGTTTGAGATAATTTATTTCTCATAAGAATTACATTCACTTACACGAGAAACTTCAATGATACAGAATTTGAAACATTTTGGGCATATCGTATATAAAAAAGAAAGAATAATTTAATAAGTATAAAAAGGGTAGTTGTTAATATTATGATAATGATTTGTTTCGAGTGTTGCGCGCCAAACTACGTTATATAAAAGTTATAAATGATAGAGTAAATGCAACTGGAAGTGGCACACATCAATGTGTCGTGTTCGCTGTGTTTATGACATAATATTTTAATATTTTTTTAAAACTCCTCCTTGATTTTGCTTCTTTTATTTCTTTTGGAAGTTTGTTATACAATCTAGCATCTTCATACAAAATGCTCTTTTTACCATAGTTTGTCCGGGGAGTATGTAACTCTATGTCGTTTGCTCGTCTTGCCTAATTTTTTGTATTTGTTGTTTCTTGGTAAAGGTTATTTGTGTATGCATATCTTTATTTAATATTTTTATTATAAGAATACAGGTACAATAAATATATGTTTGTCAAAAATTCATAATTTTAGTTTCCTTGTATATTTTATGTGTCCGTGTGAAAAAATCATAACTAAACAAAATTTTTAATAGTTTATTTTGAGCCGTTTGTAGGGCGACCATTTGTTTTTGCAGCCGCACCCCATACTTCTATTAAATATTCAATGTGTGGTTTAATAAGTGAATTATAAATCGTGTATCTGACTTGGCGCGGTAAACATCGAATTATACCTCGTAAAGCTCCAGTAAGAGGAATTAGTTTACTTCTTATTTTATTAATATGTGATTTCCATGTCATGTTACTGTCTAAAATCAAACCAAGATATTTTTCATGATCCAATAGTTTAATTTCTTCATTGTTTATATTCAATGATGAATGCTTTGGTATTTTCTTATTTTTTGCTTTAAATATTATATAGTTTGTTTTAGAAATATTTATGGTTAAAAGATTATTTTGAAACCACTTACATATTTAGTAGATCTAAGTCCATTTGCGCATTACATATAATGTCATGAATGCAGTTACCATAGTAAAATAAACTAGTATCATCTGCATTTAAGGTTATGTCACCTTTTAGTCCATGCTTATGAATGCCATTTATATATATAAGAAACAGCAGTGGCCCGAGAACTGAGTCCTGCGGTACGCCATAAGTTATGATTGTAGGGCTACTTTGTATCTGATCAATCCTAACCACTTGACGACGATTTGAAAGGTAAGATTTAATTATGTCATATGCAAATCCACAAATGCCAAGATCTATTAACTTACGTAATAATAACTAATAGACTAATAGTGTCAAGAGCTTTTTTTAAGTCTATGAATACCCCGAGCACTATTTGTTTCTTATCAATACTAATTTTTATCTTATTAACTAAATCTATCGTTGCTCAAAGAGTGTTGGATTTTGGTCTAAAGCCATACTGTTTTTCGTAAAGAAAATTGTGTGAAGCCAGATATCGCTCCAGTCTATTATAAATTACTTTTTCAAAAATTTCTGATAAAACCGAAAGAACTGATATTGGCCGGTAATTACTGGGGTCCAATTTGTTTCCGGACTTATAGATAGGGATAACTTTGGCAATTTTTAAACTATCCGGAATCGTTCCTATTTCTAAACATTTATTTATACAGTTAGAGAGCTCATTAATAATGATATTTTTTAAACATTTAATAGACTTGGTATTTATTTTATCTAGTCCAGAACTAGTATTATTATTTAGTTTATCAATTATCATAGAAATTTCGAGTGTACTTGTTGATTTCATTTGTGTAAGTGACGGTGTAGCACTTCCAGTTGCAACTGCTATTAAATTATGAGTTGGATTCAGCTGCGGGAGTTCACTAGCCAAGATTGCCCCAATGTTTGAGAAAAAAATCATTGAAATATTCGCAAATCTCATTTTCTCTTTTCAAATCACGTTTACTCGGGACTGATGATTCCCTTACCTTGTTCTTCGATAGGTTGTTTATAAGACATCACATTTTTTGGCTTGTTTTTGCAGTTATAATAATTCTTTTTGATAATATTCACTTTTTGAATGTTGTATTATTTCAGCAACTTCATTTCTTTTCGTTGTAAAACTATCTTTTATGATATTATCATTTGGGCTACGTTTATAATGGTGCCATAGTATATTCCTTTTATTTATTTCATTTATTATCGTTTTATTTATCCAATTCTGCCTTGGCGGGTTAAGTATCTTAGTTTTGATAATTTTACTTTTCATAAGACTTGCTGTTGTTCTCTCTTCTAAAAGGTGATATAAATAGCTTCTATTATCACTTTTGTTATCTATCTTAGTTTTGTATAGTTTTCCATAGTCTATTGCATCATATTTTACTTTCTCTCGAATTTTGGGTTGATGTTTTTTGATTTCAAAGTATATTTGCTTGTGATCCGACATTGGCGTATCAATTTCAACACTACGGTGTAAGAAGTGATGCCCTTAAATTAATTATTTCATATTTAAGTAAGAGAACGCAAAAAGTTGTCATTAACAATATGAGCTCTTCCGGATCGATGGTACAAATGGGCGTGCCTCAAGGCTCAATTCTCGGCCCCTTTCTGTTTCTTGTATACATTAATGACTTAC